ATAACAACTCTAACACTGAAAATACCTGTCTGTGCTGCCCCAGAACAATATATCCGAGACCCATAATATATGCCTAAAAATAGCATGATATGTGCACTTTAAATAAAGTTCACCTGAGGTTAGAACAGCTCTTATTCAGAACAGAGGCTATCTATTTTTAGCACAGTACAAAAGGTGAGACATCAGACAACAGAGGAACTAACTCAGCTGCCAGGGTTCTCACACGCACCAAGCCCTGGCAGCACATCACCCCCACTCTCTTCAACCTCCACTGGCTCCCGGTCAAGTCCCGCATCACTTACAAACTCCTCCTGCTCACCTACAAATCCCTCCATGCCCTCTCCCCTCAGTACCTCACAGATCTCCTCCACCCATACATCCCATCCCGCACCCTTCAATCCTCAGACTCTGGCCTGCTCTCCATTCCACCTTCATGCCTCCGCACCTTCGGGGACCATGCCTTCAGTGTTGCTGCCCCCACCCTCTGGAACTCCCTCCCTGCAGAAATCCGCAACGCCCCTTCTCTCAACATCTTCAAATCAACCCTTAAAACTCATCTGTTCAACATCTCCTTCCAACAATAACTCAATCTCCCCCCCCACTTACACTTACATTTCTGCCCCCAAGTTATTATTATTATTATTATTATGACAACAGAGAGTTCATTAATGTTGGGTTGGTCTGTTTCGGTTTGGTGACACATCTTAAACAATAACATATTACAAAATGGAGCTGTTCATATTGTTGCTAGGAAACAGGGAAGGGCTCTTTTTTTTAGGAAATAAGGGGAAACAAAGGCTGTTTTCATGCATGTAGCAACAAGTTAGGCTTGGGGCATTGGGCTCATAACTAAGAGTATCATACAAATACTGTCAGAACTTGCCCACAACGGCATTTTTTTTTAATTAGTGCGAATGCTATTTATAGCATTCCACTATAGTTCTTCAAATCTTTATTCTTCCCCTTATTAGTGCGAATGCTGTTTACAGCATGTTATACTTTTTGAAATATTCAGCTTTTAAACTCTTTTTTTAACATGGAAGTCAATGGGACGACTCTTAAAATCCTCTTTTCCTACACTTTACGCCAAATGCTTCTACTTCCACATACTTTCAGCTTGAGACTTCATTCCAACTTTAAGACGATCACAAGACCTTCAGCTATTCAATTCTGATTCAGATTTTTGATATCTTTTACACTTTTTGAGATATTTAACTTAGTTTTGAGCTTGTTAGAGAGGCCTTTTTCAGATTTTAACATTGGTGTGTATTGCGCAGCTCGTTAAGTCTAGAGTGCTTTGATCTCAAAACAGAGTGCAGGAGTGCTTGAAATTCTCCCAAAAAAATGTTTTAAACCTGCCATAATTCCCAAACCCTACACTTCTCAGACATCATTTTTCATGAAAAACGTAGGAAAACCTCTCCTAGGTTGAAAAATTAAAAAAAATTAAGAAAAAATATTAAACAAAATGCCTCTTGAGGGCATGAAGAGACAAAAACTCCACCCAGCTCCCAATTGATTCCCATGTTAAAAAAATCCGGATCTTTCTTCAGAAGAGAGAGAAGTACACTTTAGACAAACTGCTCTCATCTTCACATTTACCACACAAAACCCAAAAAACAAACATATATCAGTTCATCGGGGTTCCCTAATGCTCACGGTCTGTTCATTTTTTGATAGGAGCGATAGTTTTTGAACAGGTGGCAAAATTGTCAGATATGATCCTCAATGCATTCTTAATGACACTCAGTGCTGCAGCTGGTAACCATGGTGTTGCTGGGCAGATTGTAAGCTTTGATCTCTGGGCTCACACAGGTGTTATGATTATTTGTTATGAGTAGGTGCTCAGCACAGAAACAAACACTGACAAACACACTGGCCTTTAACAGACTGTCTCAGCCTATTCTTTTCTGTCTGATGGAAACTTCATACTGACTTCAACATGTTCCACATATTTGATACATTATTGGTGACGTATGGTTTTAGTCGAAAAGTTTGCAGTCAAAATATTCTGCTGCTTTCCCAAGCCTTTTTACTTTCTTTTCTCTTCTTAAATTCATTCACTACTACTTACATCTGATATTTAACTCCTTCAGCCTATTTTCAGCTGCAGAAACCATTCAACTATTACATTATTCAGCTATTTCAGGACATCAAGGCTATACATGTTGTTGTTGTTGTTGTTTATACCTTTTTTAAACCTTTTCTTTTAAATATTAAGCTTTTTCTGCATTTTTGTAGCTAAAAGCAGCTACCATTCAGCTAATAACTAGGGCCGGGACTTTAACGCGTTAATTAAGATTAATTAATTACACAAAAATTAACACGTTAAAAAAATTAACGCATTTTAATCGCACTTATTTTTGCACCGCGGAACGTTTCTCACTGGATGAGTTTCAGGCGTACCGATTATACTGGAGCACCAACTAACGTTCATGACTTCAGACAACAACAAACCACAGTGAACAACAGTGGGAAATGTTGTTTTAAAAAACGGACGGATGGAAGCGTCGATAAGAGTACGGTTGTGTGCAAATTATGCAAAAAGGAATTCGCATATCACCGCAGCACATCAAGCCTCAAGTATCACCTCAATGCAAAACATATAGCAGCTAGCGTGGACGTTAGCCTCTTTTATCGCGTTCACACCAAAAAGAGCCGGTACTCAAATTAGTTAATGAGAACCTTTTTACCCCCACGAAAGTCCCTGCTAGAGAGCAGGGACTTTGCTAGAGAGCAGGGACTTTCGTACAGCTCTCTTGTGAGAAAATAGCTATATTTCTGATTGGCTGGGCGGATTGCAAACCACGCCCCGTAAAACTCCCAAAAAGTTTTGTGAAGCCGCCATTTTATTATCCTCGCATTAGCATTATTAGCATTAGCCCAGCGCAGAAACGCGGAGAGACTAACTTATGGCAACACAACATAAAACATGGGAGCGGTGGAGATGAGGAGGTGTCGGCGTTCTGTCGATTTACTCGGAAGGCTTCAGTAGAAGCTGCTGGGACTCCCAGCAGGTTCTACTGAAACCAGTCCCCAACTCCGGGGACTTCCGGCCGGGGACTTTGGGCGGCAGTATACGCCGTGAAGTGGTTTGCGGCCTGCCAGTAAACCCAAAGCAGAAGAAGAAGAAGTGACGTCAGCGGCTTCATTTGCCTCCACCCCCAGGTTCAAAGAGTTCTCATGAACTAAGTTCTCATAGACCTTTGTGGGAAAAGTACTGCGGTGTGAATGCGCCTAATGGTATACTAAAATCCATGTGAAAAAAATTGCTTCTCACTGTTCTTAGGTCAAATATTTATATGTGATTAAAAATGCGATTAATTTCGATTAATTAATTACAAAGCCTCTAATTAATTAGATTAATTTTTTTAATCGAGTCCCGGCCCTACAATAACATATTCAGCTTTTTCTGCATTTTCAGCTAAATTCAGCCATAAATGTTCACAGTTTACAGCATTCACACGCATTTTCTGCAGGAAATACATTTTCTAGTTACTGTCTGAAATACACAGTAACCTTTTGCATTATGCACTGGCCTGCAGCGGGGCACTGATGGAGAAGTGATTTTAAGCCCATAAAAATGCTGCTGTCTTAGCCAGGTTTCCAAATACGCATCTCTTTACCAATGGCGCAACAGCAGAAATTGATTTTGTTTTTTGGTTAAGGAAAATGAACCTGGTGCTGTTGAACTAGGTTAGCTACATTAGCTAGCTAGCTTATAGCCAATCTGCAATAATATAGCCCCATTTAATCTGCAATCACATTGTTAGAATAAGCCAATAACAGTTACATTAAACCGTCTACGAACTGGGGTCGGTCGCTTAAAACATCAATGAAGAAGTGGGGCCTGGCAGACAGTACTGCATGCGAGTGCGGTGACCCTGAACAGACTGCCGATCATATAATAACCACCTGCCCTTTATATAGACCACCCTCGGAAGCCGGCCTCTTCGACGTAGGACCAGAGATGCGGGCATGGCTACACAACACCGAGTTGGACCTCTGACGTTACACGAAAGAAGAAGAAGAAGTTACATTTTAGGTACATCTCCAATAATAGTTCAGTTGGCCAACTTTATAATCCCTGAACATCAACAAGCGCTCCGGTCCCAGCTGTGTGTTGAGGAATATTTGTTTAGCTTAGGTGTTAGCCTTTGATCTAGGTCCTCATTATTTACTCTGTTTCTCTGTCCTCATGGCTCAGGCATGTAGCCTGGGGGAGTTTCTGTTATCTCTCTCACATAGAGGCAGCTCTGTCTCTTTCTATTATTAGCATATAAGACACCTGTGAGTCCAGCATAACAGATGTGCAAGTCTCTCTGGCAGACAACCTTATGTTATGGACAAACAGTTCTGTTGCCCTGCTTGTTTAGTCTTAACATGAATAATGTTGATTTATTATTTCTGAACTAGTTCAAATCTCTGACTAGGGGAAATATTCTTCAGAATTGTTTTGGGCAATCGCTGTGTCGCCTCGTGGCTGCAGCAAATGTTTTTGTCAATTCTCCGGCCGTAACATAAAATAAACCTTCAGCTGTTTGGCATCAAGTTCCAGCTCTCCCGTGTTTTGTTGTGTTTGGACTCCATTGCACCAGAAGCTTCCATTACACTGCTTGCATCACTTTTTATCGTCCCTGATTTTGTTGTGTTTTGAGCGTCTTGTAACGTTTATTCATTTGCATTGTTTTGTATTTGCAGCATTTCATTTATAATGTGCTTTTAAAAACAAGCTGCGCATGTTTCGTCAAGTTGATGAAGATTTTTCTTCATTTGCATGTGTTTTCTCACATAGTAACTGTTTTTTTATTTACATCCTTTTTGAAGCGCGTTTCTCCGAATGGTGAAAAGTGTTTTGGGCTGTTGTAGCGTGTGTGCACCTGTCGGCCACCATAGATTTGGCATAAGGTCTGTAACTTTTGTTAACATTGTATAGTAAAACTGAAACTTTTCAATCACATATTCTATTTACTAGGCAATTTCATTGTGGTAATACCTACCAGGGCATCACATGTGCATCCCAGGCTGTCTGTAGGGTTGAGGCTGATCAGAGGACAGCTAGTCGGTCCACTCCGCTCTTCAGGATGCGCTGGTATAAAATAGGGTTCCCTGAGGACATGGTTCATACTGCCGTGGGTCCCGTTGTTCTCAATTGGAGTGATCTGCAAAAGGTCTGCACGGAACAGTGACTGTTTAGTTTTGTAGACCACTGTGAACAGTTCATATTTTCAATTCAAGGTTTTCAGAGCTGGAAATCTAGCATTGCATAAGTGTAGCCTTTGGTCTATGTTGAGGTCCTGTGGTTTCTTACAAGTAAAATTATCGATTATACCCCCAACTAAACACATAACAGTCTGCAGTTTACTTGGATGCTTACAGTGAGATAAGAAACACCCATAGCAGAGGTTGCGCTAAACTTTTTCGCTGCCTGTCATTTTGACGAACAGGATCGTAGCGTTTTCGTCAAAATCCAGTATTACCCGTCGGCCTTTACACAACTCTAACGAGGGGGGGGGGGGGGGGGGAGAGAGAGCACGCTAGTGAACTGTCAACAGGGGGGGGGCGCCCTGTTATGCATGCCCACTGCACCTCGCTGGAGCACGCACAGCGTAAAGCCAAAACTCACAGACATTTCAATGATTTGTACGGCAAAGTTAGGTTTGGAAACGGTATCATTTCCTTTTTGGCGGGCATGCATAACACGGCATAACACCGGAGCCTCGCTGCGGGGAAGCTTTGGCGCTGTTCCGAGTTTGTTCTAATCTGTCAAAATTACGGAATGCTTTCAGATTTTTCCGTCATTGTTAAAAAAAATCCGTCATAGACGGAAAATATTTGGTTAACGCGACCTCTGACCCATAGACTCACCACACATGAGATTGTATAGCTCAATGTTGGAGAAAGGTTCAATTTCTGTTACGTTCTTGAACTTGGGTCCGTAACTGACAAACATGGCCTGTAAGAAAAAAGGGAGGGAGACATTTGAAACCTTTATTTGCCATGTTGGGTTATAGGGTGCACACAATAAAAAACATTTAAAAAATGATTGAAATGAAAAACGAATTGAATACCAGAGAGAAAACAATTGAAATGATACAGATACTTTTCTACACATTGTAATATTAGGCAGAATGTATGGAGGGCTTATAGAACATAGTTTCAGTTCTCACGTGCATGCTCTCTGCATCGTTGTCATAGCCGTGAGTGCCGCCGGAGCAGAATGGGAGAGATCCTGGATATCTGTGGAGAATATAGAACAGATTTAAGTTTTAATAAAAATGAGTCAGATGAGAACTACATAACTACACCGTAGTTGTGTATATGATATGTCAATAAACCTTTGAAAATCTTGAAATCTTGAAAGGGATGTGCAAAATAGCCATAATGTTTCATATCCATGTAACGGGAAGAAACTCAGCTAACTGATGATTTTTTTAGCAAAAAGAAACACAAGGCTAACGCTGAGCCTCTGAATTAGCCCTGAGCGAAAAAAAGCTAATGCCGTTAGCACAGAACTCAGGTATAAAACCCTTATTACTTATCGTAACTGCACATCCAACATATCGATTAGCATCGTGAGAATACACAGAATCGATAGGTATCTATATCATCACTCCATGAGCAGAACTCGCGACATTAGAAACAAAAACAGACATCACAACACCTGGCATTAGGTAGCAAACACGGTAATATGTCTTACCTCTGTTGTTGTCTGATCAAAAGTTGTCTTCAATGGCATTAAAATGATAAAAAATGCTGCTGAAGGTTAATCCATAGGTTAATCCAATGTGTCTGTGTCACTTTGAAATGATTTCTGATAATCCGTCAGCAATAAACCTACTTTTAAGTTTTCAGATTTCAGAGCGTAAAATAGGTTTCGCTTTTGGCAAACTGCGTGCATAGTCCCCACTTCTCAATGGTAACGTTGGTGTGTATGTTGAAATTCCCCTTCGATTCTATTGGCTCTAACGGTTCAAAAGAGATGTCAATCATCAAAATGGACCAATGGGTTCCAGAGAACCGGCAAAAACGCCCATTTCCACCCAAATGACCCCAGAGCTGGAGTTTTTTTAAAATTATTATATGTTGTACTTTGGATTCCTAAAGCTTTTAGTCTACTAACCCATCATCCAAGGGTAGTTTTCACTATAAGTAAAACGTTTTTTTGGACGGACACTATAATTTACAGTTTTTTACTATGTTCAATCTGAATTTTCTTTAAAATAAAAAAACATCTATATTGATTCTGACCGTTCTACATCAAACTCACAGGTTTATCATTACTTTGAGAAAAAAGATTATTAATGTTCCCCTTTTAGAAGTGTAGTTATGGTCATTTGTTCTGGAAATGTCATTTTCGAGCCTGAGACCTGAAAAACAGACTTGGGGCTTAACAGGTGAACTATTAGTAGAGAATAACAAGTAATGCAACTAATATCTCGCCTGATTGTTGGCACCCGTTCGAGTCCAGTTTTGGATAGTCTGCCGTGGTTTCGTTCCATTTCAAAGAGCTGTTTGAGGCTCTGTGTAACCTTGGTACACTGCCACTCCAACATCCAATCCCAGAGCTTGAAGATTAATCACGGGGACTGTAGTCCCAAACGATAGCTGAGGATTATGGGTAGTGTAGTGTCTTCGGCCATCCTAAACTCCGAAATGTTTTTTCGGATTTCATATCGCATTAACACCATATCCCAATGTGCATTGCGGCTAAAACATCCAATCACCGAGCTTAAACCATAACTGAGGATCTTGGGTAATCAGTTCAGTGGGTGTGTATCGCAATGATGCTCGAAATGTCCCATATAGGCCTACGTCTGTTTCCGGTTATTTTATTTTGAAATTAAGTTCCTGACGGACGCCAAAAAAGCCAGAGATTATAGAATTAAACAAATAAATAAAAACAAGGATAATTGAGTGTTATTGTTGAGTAAATAACAGTGTGTTATTTAGAAAAGAATAACAAATTAGAAGGAAAGATTGAAAAAATACAGATTTCAGTATTCTGAGGCTCTGAGCCCCATTTATTTTCCTCGCGGACGGCAAAAAAATTCCGACATTATATGATTTAAAATAAAAACAATAATGGTGGCTTGATATTAAGTAAGAACATGTTTTTATGAACCACACAGCTTCCGGTCTGCCAAGACCCGACCGGACAAAAATACGTGTTGCAGGCACAAAACATACTACCAATAGAAATACATTGCTAAAATCGTTCTGTGTGACACGAAAAAAAGGGGGAAATCGTGTTGGTGAACACGAATCAATAGATTAAATGTCGTGACTATAACACAAAATGCCGTGAGACTATTTTGTGTTTGGGGAATTTTCGTTGCATTGTTTTTTACTTTAACATGTTGACCACTTCAAAAAGACCAACAATTCCAACCTGAGAATGCAATTAAAAACATCTAAATGTGATGGAGTGCAGACTTGGATACCTCTCAAACAGCCACTTTAGGTCCACCAGGACGTTAACGTCTTCGATGCGCCGGCTGTTGGCAAAGTGGAGGCGCTTCGGCAGGTTGGCTTTCAGGTAAGGCTTGATCTTTTGGTCCGGCTTCTTACACTGAAATCTCCAGAAAAACAGACAGTGTTGTATTGGTTTTACTTGCACACATCATCATTTCATAAAAAATGATCTTATTTGCTGGATGTGGCTCTCACATTCGGGCTGCACAATATATAGAAAATATATCCTTATTGTGATGCAACATTCTCGGTATAAGATTCCCATAGATAGCTAGGTCTGTGATAAATAATATATTTGATAATATTTGTATTATATGTGCCATGCATTCAGGTCTGGATATACTGTATATACAGTATGTTCCCAGTCAGATGAAGCCCTATGGCTCTAGATGTCCCTCCTCCCATGTAGAAGTAACGCCATTGGCTGAGGTGGTAAGGCTAATGGACTTGAGCTGAGCGTCGGTAAAAGGAAATAGACAAACGAAGAAAAATATGGGGGATGAAGGAGCAGAGGAAGAACTTTTTATTACAAATAATGTTTTCATGCAAGTCATACCGAACACATGTGACCACTACCAGAGGTAAAACCAGATGTGCAGAGTGCAGTGCCATTAATGCACAGCCGTCCACTATTTAATATTTTCCTGATATTGTGCAGCCCTATCTAACATTATACTTTTAGCAGTTAAAAGTTGTAGATGTTGGTGAGTGCATGGAAGACTCACAGTCATGTTGGCCACAAGTCCAGCTGAGTCAACTGTTGAAAGTTGAAAATGTCATTACACCAAACGCATAGCACAAACATGTGCTCAGCTTGATTCCCCACACATTTTTTTTTTACCAATAGCCATTTATGAACAGATGTCAGATATCGGAAATCTGAACGGCTACACATTTTCACTTTTTTTTTTAACACTTTTGGAAACATATGTGATAATGTACCGTAAGTACACAACTCTACAAATATGACTTCAAACTGTTTGGGGTTTGTCACAGGTTGAGAATGTATTTGTAAGTTTTGAAGGAGATTGGCATTGTTGCATTTGGCACCAAGAGATGGTTGCCAAACAACATCACCCTCAAAGTGATGACTCAAAGACATATTTCCCTTAGAGTAAGTCATCTTATTTTCTTAAGGTAGGTATCCCTGATACCTCTGCAAACATTTCATACACGACTCATTTAATTGGACTCCTCTGTGGAGCTACTTTTTGTTGGAATAATAAACTGGCTGAACATCGGGGACTATAGACGCTATATTTGGATGCCGAACAGATGGATCAGGGTTTAGGTTAATATTAGTGTTTCTTAGTCAGAGATACCTGCTGAATTCCAACAACTTCAGCGTGGCTCATAAAGCAGAATAAATAGTCTGTAAACTCACACACTGTGACGTTGTGTTTGGTTCTGATGCGCCCGAATGGTCCCTCAGTCACCCAGTAGTTTCTGATGTCGCCCACCAGATCCTGCAGCACCTCCTTCCTCTCGCAACTCGTTTCCTCCATACCTGCAACAGTAATAAACACTTTTATTAATCCCTATTATATTATAATTTTAAAAAATGAACCTAAATGGTTTAACATGTTTCTCTCATCAACTGCAATTCACCGGCACTCAACACTTCCATTACACTACGGATGTTTATATCATCCAAATGTATTCTGATGATACTGTAATTTATGTTCACGGAGGCAGTCTGACACAAGTGGCTAATGAACTGACGAACAAGATGGTTCATGTAACAGCTTGGTTGGAGCAATGCTGTCTGCAACTAAATGTCAGTAAAACTGTATGTATGTTCTTCACCAAAACCAAGTCCTCCTGCGTTGAGCCAGATGTGTTTGTGTCCGGGGAGAGGCTACAGGTGGTCTCAGAGTACAAATATCTGGGGGTCTTAATTGATTCAAGACTACATTTTAAGGCTCAGGTGAAAAAGGTTTGCTACAGGGTCAAATTCAGTATGTTCAATTTGAGGTTTACCAGGAACTGCATGTCAACAGAGGCGGCTCTGATGTACATGCACTCTATGGTTCTATCTCATATCACCTACTGCTTAACAACCTGGTCACATGCCTGTACAACCACTCTTAAACCGCTGGAATCATTATACAAACAAACACTTAAAATAGTAGATAAGAAGTCAGTTTATTCTCATCATTGCCCAATACTCACAAAATATAACTTGTTGAGCTGGGAACATGTAATGAGATATGCAAATACTTGCCTCATGTACAAAATAATACACGGCCTTACCTCACCTCCGCTCAGGCATGTTATCACCATACGCACATCTGTAACTAGGTCAACAAGAGCTGCAACAAGAGGAGACTGCGTTGTTCCATTAAGTAAGAGTTCATTCAGCCAATCTTCTTTTTCTTTTAAAGCTGCACGACAGTGGAACTCAATCCCAGTAACGATTAGAGAACAAAACACCTGCAGTTTATTTAAATCTAACTTAAAAACATGGTTAGTGGAAAGTCAGCTCTGTCAACACTGACACAATCTGTACATTACCACGCTCTGTTTGTACATATGCCTTGACCTGTATCTGACTGCTTTGTGAATATGTATTTTAGTTTAGTTTTTATGTTTTTATATATGCTTTTATCATAATATAAGTATCTCTGTTGAATGTTGTTTTACTGATTGTATTTACCTGTTATTTGAAGTGAATTTTTGTTTTTAGGATGACTTTTAACATCTGTCCAGGGACTACAGACGAAAAATAGCCTGTTGGCTAACTCTGGCGCATTTACAGAAATGTCAATCAATGTGCACTGTCCCTGTCAAATAAATATATAAATAAATAAATAAATAAATAAATAAATAAATAAATAAATAAATCCATGAAGCCGATAGTTTCGTTACAAAGGAAAATTAGATCGGGAAAGTTGTGGGTAAGGACCATGAAAATGTGCACATGTGTAATATCAGGCAGAACATTAGCTGCTTTGTTAGCAGGAGACTCATCATGTACTATGAAACACAACAGAACTACTGCCAATGGAATCCTAGCAAAAGCTAAAGCACCTTTCAAGCACTGCAAGTTTAACTAAAATGAATGGAAGTCAAAAGGTAAGGACCACACTGTAGATGAGCCCCAGGTGCACATTATAGGACTTATGCATCATAAAGTACATACAAAATGTATTCCAGCAAAATGTGTACACTACTAGAAATCTTTGTTCAACCCGTTTTTAGATTGTGGTCTCATTTGTTAAAACATAACACATCACAAAGAAAAATAATAAATGTTCCTTTTCACCATCATATTCAAATGTTCTTAGTAATGGATTTCCATTTGAATAATTTTTATGATTTAAATGACCTCACTAAAATCTTACTTACTAATCTTACTTAGACCATCAATAAATACAATAAACATAGTGTGAGATATTTAAAAAAAATAATCTCGCTCATTGGTACTGATTTGATTATTCATTGTGTTTCATTATTAAAATGATGCTGCTGAAAGAGAGAAAATGTTTGGTATGTTACCGTGATCTGCCACGATGACGATGTTGAGACAGCGGTGGAGGCTGATCTGCTTCAGGCCGTTCATGAGCTGACCAATTATCTTATCCACACTCTGGAGAGCTTCAATGAGCTGCACGCACACGCACAGACACACACAAACACACACAAGCACCACACACGGACACACACACACGGACACACACACACACACACACACTTAATATCTCATATTTTCTAGGCTCCCATTCCCTTGTGCTATAATATGATGCAAAGGGATACAATAATGTATACACAATTCTTATTCTTGATTGTAATAATAGTAATAATAATACTTTTTAAAGACAATAATCAAGAAACAGCTTAAATAGAGTAAACTTACAGCAAATAGAGGACATTTATAAAAAGGTTAACATATAGAAGAGAGTTTTCAGAAAACTGCTTGGTTTATGTTACTTCAGCAGGATAATATGCACATAATAAAACCACTTTGTAATCTTTGAAGGGTAAATGCAATCAGCAGAAATAAATTGCTAATGTAGCCTGTAGCCATAAACAAACTACATCATGATTGCATGGCTAGCATCACCAATGCTAAGGAGGGTTTAATGATGTGTTTTATCTTGTAGAACCAAACGTGGAAATCTCTTCAGCTCATGTTGGCTGTCCTGATTGCAGGCTTCTAACCACAGACACGTTTAAAAAACATTGAGTAAAATGTTTTTTCTGGGTTTTAGGACTGATTACTGCACCACTCTGTGATAAAGATTTGAATGTGTGCCATAATTCTCAACTGAAAGAAACAAGACTGAATGAGTTTTGTTATATAAGGGATAACATTGTAAATGTCGGTCAAAAAAGGACACCCAGGTTCTTACGCACTGAGTAATAAAGCACTGCAAACACAAGTAATCAGTTATGGGGGAATGAAACAAGTTTGACAAATGATCAGCCTGGATATTTGGAAAGAAAAACACTTACAAAAGTAATACACTTTTGTGCAAACCTTTCAGCCTGTTTTGCTCCTCAGTAAACTACTGGGTCAGTGTTATGGAGTATAAACATTCAACCGTCTGGTGTTATTGCAGAGTGCAGGGTTGACACTACAGCTGTGAGCTTTCAAAGGCCTGGACTTTCGGTTTCACTGTGACCCCAGAGAGGTTTCATTCTCTGTACACTGGCATATGGAAAATAATAACTGTCTGTTTCTTAGGAACATGCTGCAGGAAACAGAACGTAGATGTTTCAGCAGCTGGATGCATCTGCAAAGAGATGCAGATGTATTGGGATGGAGTCAGTTGTGTGGGATATTCAGAAATTCCAGATAAGGCCGTACAGAGACCCATGATTTGATATGGAACTCCCTTACAGGGAGAAGTTTTTTTTTTCTCAAGAAAAACTGCATCAGTATCCTGTCATGATGAGACTCATAGATGATGGAGGACTTGGAGTACGGACAGAGATTGAAAAGATGATGACACAGATGCCGTTGTTGTGAACCTAAAGGTCAAGATGCTTTCACCACACCTCTATCCTCTGCGAATTAAAGCCTGCAGCCATTATTGCAGGCGTTGCCCGTATGCTGACGATTCTTTCGAATTCTAAGCAGGATTCCTGTGTAAGGTACAGCGCTGCTTTGAGCTAAATGCTAACAGGCATGCAGAGGAAATGTCAGTGAATCACAGAGTCTTATGACTCATCCTCTATGGACAGTGAATACCTGAAGCAAATGTCATGGAAATGCATCCAATGCTTAGGAAGAATGATATACCAGCCGCTCTATCAAAAGAACCACATCCTTTTCCTAATGTCAACTAATTTAATTAAAGAGTCTCTTTTATGCTTTTTTAGGTGTTCCCTTTCTTCTAGTGTGTTATAGGTTTTTGTGCATGTAAATGGTTTGGGAAGGCTTACATCCCTGTTGTTAACACATTATTCTATTTGTGATTGATTGTTTTATAATAACAATATATATTTTAGAAATGTAACTATTTTCATGATGTGTTTTTAAAGATGATTGTCTTCAGTTGGAACCAAATGGGCTTGGACAGAGTAGGGAAGTAAAAAAACAATTAGAAAAGTCAATGCTTATTCTTTTGGCTAATGCAAGTCAATTGTAAATGCTTTAATCCACATAAGACACCACAACAAAAAGGTTTCTTGTTATACAAAAACAAAGCTAAACTTAATACTAAGCATTTTTTTTGGTTCCCATGTTCAAACATGTAATTCTTTCTCAATTCTCAAGTAAAAGACATTAGAATACACCAGTTGTTCTTTGCTATCACAGGTTCCTAGAGGGACTGGTGGACAGTCTGCAGTGGGTAGATTTGGACAAAATGACCTCATTCTTATCACAAATAGTCCGCTTAGGTAATTACAGCCATTAACTAACAGTGTACAGTAACTGTAAACACTCTAAATAGGCCATAAACACTTTGATTAAACTAGAAAGAGGTCCTCTTTATTTTCATATACACACACACACAGAGGCCTTAAGATATGGCTTACTCTAATCAACCAACATTAAATCTACATTCAGATTAATCATGTTACGCAGAGTATTACACTTTTTATTTGACCAAGAGTGGCACCAAGTTCATGAAGACTATGAGGTTTTTTTATTGATGTCCATAAAGTGTCTGATTGTGCTGATGTGATTTAAATTGTTTGAATCTAATACATGTTATCTATGGCCAATGATAAGACCTTTTATTGTGCTATAATGTGTGAGTATTTGCGGTGATGGACAACATTAACGAGGCTAATGTTTCTGATATGAGAATGGGAGTATTTAAGTGCTGTTTGTTATAATGGAGAAGGTAAAAAATTAAATGAAAAGAAAACACCCCATTATGCTTTTTGTGTTTTCCTTTTCCTGTAATGTGCATTATAGGTTTGTGTGCATGTAAATGGTCTACAAAGGCTAAATCCCTTTGGTCCCTCCAGAGCAGGGGTGGCCAACCTGCGGCTCTCGAGCCGCATGCGGCTCTTTGCCTAGTTTCATGCGGCTCTTCAGTTCATATTGAATTTTATATGTGTGAGTTCGGGGGAGAGACACTGACTCCTGACTAGTTGTGCACGGTGTACCGATACTTGAAAGGTATACCGCGATACCCTGCCGTTAAAAACGTTACGATTCCTCCGTTTAAGAATGACGGCGGAAAGTACTCCGGTGAGAAAGCGCCGTTTAAATAAGAGCTGTGTGTGTTCAGCGCTCTGCTTCCACTCCCTGCTCTGCAGCCGTGCCTGCAGTCCCGCCCCTCTAAAGCACGCTCAAGTGCCTCCCCGCACTCGTGCACGCGCTAGCTGCCAGAGCATGTGAGAAAACGAGAAGCATGGCTGCAAGTGAGAGTGCAACTGCCGCTGCCCCTCGGCTTGTTGACAAAAAAGACGCCAGAAGCGAAATGTGGAAGTATTTTAGCTATATCTCTGACAGTGAGGGCAAGCCTACGGACACCACGAGGCCTGTCTGTAAGAAATGTATTAATTTTATTTAATACGAATTCTTGTCATTTATTGTTCTCATTGTTTAAAGGTTGTGTTATGGTTCTGGTTCTGGTCTGAAATAAAGCACAATAATTACATTTAAGACTGTTTCCCTTTTTTTAAGAAAAGTATCGAAAAATAATCGGAATCGCAATTCTTGACTTGGTATCGAAACCAAAATGTTGGTATCGTGACAACACGACAGTTAAACCTGATATTTAGTAGGTCTGTTAAGTATTGAATGCTGATAATTCTGACGTAATTTGGCCGGTCAAAGTTGTTTGGGCTCGGATAAAATTGCTCCGTTACTTTCGTTCCGTGTTACTTTCGTCCCGGCTCTCCCTACGTGTGTATGTGTGGTGTCAGGTGTCAGTATGAGAGGATGACAGCGCGTCTAATTTTGATGTGGCCCAAGAGCCAATCACAATAATACCTGCGATGCAGTGAACCAATCACTTTTTGAGGGGGGGAAAACCTATCGTTGATTAAACACTACTATCCAGTGTTTCCCCTACCATTGTCTTGGAAGGGCGCTGCACCCCGCCAACGGAGCCCCGCGCCCCCCCCTGAAATTCAAGGTGTTTAAAAAAAATATATAATTTTAAAAAATATATATATATCGCACCAAATTGCAAATAATCTATAACTACTGTCACTTTTCACATTGAACATGTGCTCTTTTATTAAATAAACTAAACGCTTTCATTTGAAGTTGTGAGTTTAGTGTTTTTGACCCTAAGAAACACTGATGCATTAATCAATAACAATAATCCACAGCTCCTCTCTGCTCCAGAGGATTTAAAAAATATATATCCCAATGCCACAAAAATGCATCAGTGACGTGGTTGAAATCTTGTCTCCAGAAAACAAAAAACTGAAACAAGCGGTATCAGTGACTGTGTGTTTGATGTGGCTCTTTGCAGTAACATAGAAAAAATGTGGCTCTTAACCTCTGACTGGTTGGCCTCCCCTGCTCCAGAGGGAGTTTCTCTCCCACACACTCCCCCCCTGCCTGAAACGTCTGCATTGGACTCCTTTGTTTACTTCGGTAACATAGTGACTGTCACGATCTGTCTGTGTTGTGTTTTGTCATGTCTAGATCTGTCTTTGGTTTCCTGTTTTATTTTGAACAGTGTTCACCCCCTGTCTTGCCTGTTGCTTCCTGTCTGTGTGTTCCCTCCTTGCCTGATTACCCGATTGTGTTCACCTTGTGCCCCTGTGTTTTCTCCTCCCTCTTCACCTGTCTCTTGTTTTTTTTTATTAGTCCTGTGTGCATTTAGATTAGTTTTTTCCTGTTAGTCTTTGTTAGATCCTTGTTTGTTGACTGTGTTCACAGGGGAGAGAGTACTGCTCTCTATGTTCTGTAGCCTTGAAATAATTTTCTGTTTTATCTGCATTTGGGTCCTGCCTGCTTCACTCAACCCTGACAGAAGGATCTCACCAAAGATGCACCTATAGCAGTGTTTTTTTGAGGATGAGGTTGGCAAATTATCCTGCAAACTTTTATGTTTTCTTGGAGAGTGGATGAGGGCTCATGGTAAAGAGGCTCAGGAGGCTGCTCTTTCACGAGCACACCGGGAAGTTGCAGATTAAGGAGCTGGAGCTGGTTAAGGAGCTCACTGCCTGCATTTTTAAGGGACTTTGTGACTCCTCCCGATAAACTGCACGCCTGCTTTAAACCTCGAGACCCTGCAGCCATGGTTCCGGCTCCAGTACCTGCCCCAGCAGCCATGGTTCCGGCTTTGGTTCTGGCTCACGTTCACGTTCCGGCTCTCCGGCCCACTCCAGCTCTCCGTGTCTTACCGGGGTCCTGTCAACCCCATGTCCTGGTCCGTTGGGGGTTCCGCTGGGGGTCCTTCCAACTCTGTCTCCTGTTCCGTTGGGGGTCCCGCCATCACCTGTCTCGGCGGGGGTCCTGCCTACTCCTTGTCCTGTTTCGTTGGGGGTTCCGCTGAGGGTCCTGTCAACTCCGTGTCCTGTCCTGTTGGGGGTCCCGCCGACTACTGTTCTGCCGGGGGTCCTGCCAACCCCATGTCCTGTTCCGTTGGGGGTCCAGCCGACACCTGTTTCGGTGGGGGGTCCTGCCAACCCCATGTCCTGGTCCGTTGGGGGTTCCACTGGGGGTCCTGCCAACTCTGTGTCCTGTTCCGTTGGGGGTCCCGCCGTCACCTGTCTCGCCGGGGTCCTGCCAACTCCTTGTCCTGTTTCGTTGGTGGTTCCACTGGGAGTCCTGCCAACTCCGAATCCTGTTCAGTCAGAGGTCCCGCTGCTACCAGATCCTGACCCGCCGGCGGTCTCGCCTACACCATGTCCAGTTCTGTTGGGGGTCCTGCTGACGCCTCTTCCGCCGACACCGTGTCCTGTTCCGACGGCGGTCCCGTCGACACCAGCCCTTGTTCCGTCTGGGGTCCCACTGACACCAGCCCATGTTCTGTCCAAGGTCCCGGCTGTGCCTGTCCCATCGTGGGTTCCGTCTGCACCTGTCCCGATGGCTCCGGTTCCTGTCCGGGCCGACACCGTTCCTGTCCCGCCAACACCGGTTCCTGTCCCGCCATCCCCAGCTCCCAGTGCTCCCGATTCCTGTGCTCCGGCGATCCAGCTGACCGGCCCCATCGCGGCCTACGCCGTCTTCCTGCCCGTCCTCCGGAGCTGTCCCGGCGCTGCCTTCTTGCCCGTCCTCCGGAGCTTGTCCCCGGCACTGTCTTCCTGCCCATCCTCCGGAGCTGTCCCGGCGCTGCCTTCCTGCCCGTCCTCCGGAGCTGTCCCGTTGCCACCATCTTGCCTGTCCTTGTGCCCGGCCCCCTGACTTTCCCAGCCGATGCCTTCGTCCTTGAGCCCGACCCCATGACTTTCCCAGCCGCTGCCTTCGCCCTCGAGCCGGGCCCCCTGACTTTCCCTGCCGCTGCCTTCTCCCTCGAGTCCCGGCCCCCTAATTTACCCAGAGTCCCGCATTTAGGTTCGCTTTTTCCTATTAGTCTTTGTGAGATCCTTGTTTGTTGTTGACTGTGTTCACGGGGGAGAGAGTTCTGCTCTGTATGTTCTTGTAGCCTTGAAATAAAGGTATTTTCTGTTTAATCTGCATTTGGTTTAATCCTGCCTGCTTCACTCAACCCTGACGGTGTGTCCACACAGCAGCTTTGACCAAATCTTGAAAATCCTGGAGCTGGGCGTGTCTGACAGCTTGGGGATTTCGCGACCAACAACCAATCACATGAATATCACATGAATATCCCGCCCCCGACATACAAAGCAAAAAAACCCGGTTCTTCTACACTATTGTCAAATAGGAAGGGCTATGATGAACATTTATTTTTTTAACATTTTGAACATTTATGAGATTAATGTTTATGGTGCTATTTTATGCTACATTCCATGCTGGCTAATGATACTGTCTATGCTTGCTAGAAACGAAGTAAACTAGCAACGAAGTAAACTGGATATAAAATCCCCAAACAAGCGAAAACCTACCAGTTTCACCCACTGCCTCTGCCACCTCCCCCCATGCCTGGTTCCTCCGGTTTGTATCCCGGTAAGTAAATAGGGACTGGTCATAAAGAACCGGGTGATTTGCTACCGCAATAACTAAGTTCTCCTCCATTTTTGTGGAATATAGAAATGAACTGCGGGTCTCGTTCTCCCAGCTTGCACGCGGTTTGATTGGCTAGCACTTGAACTGTCAGATTTGCATAAACGGATCTGATTGGCTGTCGCTTCCAGCTCAGCCTCAAAAGTTGAACATTGTTCAACTTTGGAATCCTGAACATCCTGGAAATCCTGGAAATCTTCGCCTCGCCCCCCCACAATGCAATTCGGCGACAAGCGAGGGAAAGTGACGTCATCCCCATTCAAAGTCAATGGGCGGAGATGCGCTGGAAGCGGTGGACAAATCGCCAAAAGCTGCTGTGTGGACGGGCCGTAACAGTGACATCACTATATCACAATCGTGCTTCTATTTGTTAGCGCTCCAACACATTGGACGTGAAAGGGGCGGGACATTTCTAACACATCTAAGTTGTTGACCAATCAAAACAGAGCATCTAGTTTAACCAATCAGAGCAGACTGGGCATTGGTTTGAGACAGAGGGTTACATTAAAGCATTAAAACATAGGCACACAATTAAAATAGAAATCTGAACATTATCATAATAAGTCCTCTTTAAGGGACGCTTCAAACGACATCAGAAAGCAAAAATAAATAGCATAGAGAAGAAGTTATGTTTAAATGTATAATTTTCTAAGCTACTTTTCATTATCTTACCCCTCCACTGACAGGACCGTAGCTGTGGCCAGATTTGTCAGGCTCCTCCAGATACAGCGTGTAGAAATCTGGCCTGAAGGAAAATGTCATTTTTAAATAAAAGTATATTTTCAACACCAGAAACACATGTTTGTTATTTTCTGAATGAAAGTGTCCTGATTCCTAAATGGTGAGCGTCTAGTTAGGACAATAACAAACCTGTCAGCGTCTGGTAGCTGGAGCCACTTCAACACAGTGAATACTCTTTCTTCAAACGGCACTTTACTAAAAAATAACAGAAGAGAGAGAAGTGGCAGTGGTGAACACAAAGTCTTTAAAAGGCATTGAAGGAGAAACAGTGACATCAGAACATTTTTATGAATTGTATCAACCCCAGTTAAAGGTGGCTTTATTGCACTTATTGGATTGAGTTTGTTTACACGCAGGCTCACTGAAGGAGAGCAGTGGTGACTGGGTTTGCCTGGATACCATTTAAACTTTTATTTTTGGTTAAATGACATTATTTCATCCCTACAGAACAGTACATACATTTAGAAACGGTCTGTCAGAATATAAGTCCATGTGTTGTTACCTAATGGCCAGTAGGCTATAGCTTTATAACACACTACACTACTGATTTAAAAATAATCGTTTTACTTCCGCGTCCACAAAAAGTGTCGGTTCCACTGCATACCGACGGCTGGAACTGCGGCAACAGCAACGTTAAACTGACCGCAGCACTGATCAGGCTTTTCAGCAATTGTCCAAGTCTGTTAAAAAATGTTCTCCATTAACCAGTCTTTAAACACTGTCAGAAGCCATACTGTCTTCCTGTCTGCCTTCTTCTACTCTTCCCTTCAGTGTTTACTTCCTGTCTGCCTTCTTCTACTGTACTCTTTGGTGTTTACTTCCTGTCTGCCTTCTTCTACTGTACTCTTTGGTGTTTACTTCCTGTCTGCCTGCTTTACTGTACTCTTTTGTGTTTACTTCCTGTCTGCCTTCTTCTATTGTTCCCTTTAGTGTTTACTTCCGGTCTGTCTTCTTTTAATGATTTCCGTCTCTTTCGCTATTTTTCATTTCTTCAATGGGGACAGTTAAGCCATCTTAAATCAATACATTTTGGGTTCTCCTCAAATATAAAAATTAATATTCCAAAACTATTCCTCAGTTTTTTCTAAACGAGAAAACGTATGTTTGTTGTCCATAACTGCCGTTACATTTACCGAACTACTTTCTGTGGATTGATACGACTGCACAAAGTCCTCCTTAGCAACAGTTGGCTATTCTTTGCAGTATGTTGACTTGGCTAGTATTAATACTGTAACCTCTGAAATTTCCAAATTGACCAATCAGAATCGAGTATTGAACTAAGCTGTGTACCAACTCTTTATATATCCATGTCTTATACACACTGCCAGGTCACATATTCCTCTGCTACATCTTGAGACATATTGAGCCATGATTTGACAGATATTTGAAAGAATTCAATGTTTCTTTGATTCTATTTTGGTAACTCTTGTTCGGTTGGTTTGATTTTCCAGGAAGGAGACCAGCTCCATCTGTGATGTCATTAAGTGAAATACATTGCTTTCGTGAGGATAAATGAACTAAAGTCAAACAGTAAATACGGCACTGAGAACATCCAGGATGTAAATGCAATGTAGGTGTTTGTTTACCATCGAAGGATAAACAGGCCTTAATCGAGCAATCATAGAGCAGGAAAGAGTGTCCGCAGTTAAGGCGGTTAAGAGCAATAAAGCAATTCAATATATGTGTACCATCCCACGCAGTCATAAAAACTCTCCATGACTGTGCCCCATGGTACAGCCCTTTATCAGTCGATATGCTGTTATTGCTCCTTAATGCTCACAATCACTTTGATATCTAACATGATTCAACTGCATTTTTAGTATTTTCAGTATTTTTTCAGTATTTTTTCAGTATTTTCAGTATTCAGTATTCAGGGTAGTCAATGTCCTTTCACTTATGTAAACACATCTACGATTTACTAAGTATGTTTAGATAATTAACTTCAGAAGTTTTTTGAAGAAGAAACACAACTGTCTCCAGTCACCTTTATAGTAATCTGCACACAACATGCCAGTTGTCTAAATATATAATAATAATATTATAATAAAAATACCTAATTACAGTTTTGAGAAGAGATTAACAATGCTGATTACATTCTCAATCTTATGGTTGTTGAATTTCTTTTTTACTTACATGGACACATACAGGTTGTTTAGTAAAGAAGGGAGTTTTTAGATTTATTTTGGGTCGATGTGGATTACAAAATAAACAATAAAAGCAGAGAAATAAACAATAGGTCTGGATGAGGGAGAGAAAAAGGACCAGAAAGAGGAATGGCTGAACATATGGCCAAAATATTCTTTGTAATGTATCATTATTGTTATAATGTTTTAGTTATTATTTTCTTTCCAGTGTTGTTTTTTATATTATGTATTGACTGTTATATCTGGTTTTGATAGGTGTACTCTCATGAATAAAATGTGGTATTATTGTTATCAAAACCTATTATTAGGCTTTGAGTATGTTAACTTGACTTCTGTTGCCGATTTCTTCTGATTTTAAATCAAAGTGCTGGCGGTCAAATACCCCGAAATGTAAGATTTCACCAATTATCATACTATAAAGGAAATTGTGCCTGTTTTTTTAGCAAGGGTGCGCAGACAGTAACTATTCACACCCAGTTCTCCAATAGGATGTGACACTACAACACAGCCTGCTGTTGTAAGAACAAAATGTCCGTCTTACCCATTGTAAGGTTCGTGGATATCAGGATAGCTTCCGTTAACTTTGACGTCTGATCCCGGCCAGAAGAAAGTTCCAGATTTCAGCCCCTGGTGCTTCGCTGTGTGCCAAATCTACAAAAACAAACAGAATTAACAGATTAACACGCTGAGGTAATGTTAATTCATCATTTAATATTAATTCCTGATGGATATAAGAGGGATACATTAGCAAACATCTGTATATATAGCCTATATATAATGTTTCGTTTTTTTGTTTGTCATGTAACATATTAAGGTTTTTACCTTCTGTTTAGGATGTAAAGGTATCTATTTAATATTTTATTTAAAGATAGACATTTATAATATGTTATAAATGTCTATTTTGTTATATAATACAATATATAACATTTGACATTAATAACAGGCATGATTATTACACAGTCAACCCTTATTCAGAGTGCCTAATAAATGTATATATTTTTTTACAGTGCAGATTTTGGCTTTTTTGGGACCATCGCAAATGTGTGTAAGTAACAAGTATGCTGTATAATCTGCAACAACTGTCAGGTGGTGTTATTATTATTATCTTTTAATTGAAATGGAGCAAAAACAAAAGGGTAGAATTGATCATACCATATTATGTTATTATTGCAACTGTTTTTATTATATTGTGTTGTTTTGTTTATATATGTATGTGTGTGTGTACAAATTAATTAATATAAAGTGTATATATGTGAGTGTGTGTATAAATGAATGAATACATCTGTGTGTATAAATGAATAAATACATGTGTGAGTACATTTATGTGTGTGTTTATATAATATATAAACACACACATAAATGTACTTTGTATATACACACATTTTATATATATATATATATATATATATATATACACACATTTATTCATTTATAAACATATATATATGTTTATAAATGTGTGTATATATATATAAAATAGTATCATTAAATAATGCTGTCAGATAAATGAAGTACACAGTAATAGTCAAGGTTATATTCAATATTCTGCACTTACACCAGCTGATAAGATATTTAAAAACGTCTTTTGTTTGTCCTGAAAACGACATTTGAGGATACACACAGGCTATTTATAGATGATAAAAACACCAGTAATACAATCTCAGGACTCTTCGATATGGCTTTGATTACAGGATCGTTTACTTTCAGTTAACAATCCTTTGGAAAGACAAAAAAACAACTATTCAATATCCTGCTTTACCGCAAACCGCTATAAACTGCCGAAGAAGAAGTCTATGACACTATCGCGTAGAGCTAACGTCGATCCTTGCGTAATGCGGAAGTGGGCGTGGTTAAATCTAACTGGGTTGGAAAAACGATAGACGCCGCCCTGTCAGCGCCCTGGCCTGTGTGTCTGTGACTTGTATCCAAGGTGACGCTACTGTAGTTGTCGAGGATTGCTGCGTCTGCAGGTGGAGACTCCGGTGCTAGTGGATCGCCGGAGCTGTAGATTAACATGTACATGCTTATTGTAGTAGTAAGGGCAATGCCTGTAGCACCATGGAGCATATGTGTGGGCTGGACCTGTATTTTACAGGAAAGGAGTGAGCAGAGGGTGGAGTTGTCGATTCTTGTTCAGTTTTCATCTTCCTCACCCTCTCAGACTTTGAGTTGCGCGCGCTGCTAAAGAGACGCGCTACCATGGAAACCAAACAATGGTGTATTAAAGTCCGAGTGGAAACAGTCGTGAGTAAATCGGAATTTGTCAGAAACCGGGAGAAATGCGGGAGAAATATGACCCCGGGAGGAAACCGGGAGAGGGCAATGAAATCGGGAGTTTCCCGCGAAAATCGGGAGGGTTGGCAAGTATGACACACACTGAAGATTATGGATTATCTCATATTTTTAAGCCTCAATTTGTCCCCCCCCCCCCCCCTCTAACATCACCAGAAGTCATAATTTAAGGGGTCATTTATCAACAAAAAAAAATCTCGGACCGCCCTAGTATGGTTTGGTCACAGCCATTTCCATAGCCCCACCAAAAATATTTTCCACCAGCCGCCACTGATCCTGGGTAACGGCCTGGCTGGCAGCCGTGTGTGGGCTGAGGGTCCACCACCTACCATGCTGTCATCTTCACCCACTGTGACTGTTAACACAGAGGAAAATGCTCTCCTGGAGTTTTTGTCCGTCCGACTGACGGACAACTTCTCACTTCAAACAAGAAGAAGAAATCTAGATCGCAAAATAATTAAACAAGGGAGTGCCTGTTTTTCCTGGCCAAGGACAGGTTCCATGAACACAACACGAGTGTAACGTGTCTTCACGTGGTTATGTCTCGTCTGAAAGGAGTGTAGACTAGAGCAGTGTTTCCAAACCGGGGGTACGCGTACCCCTAGTGGTACGTGGGTGGTCCCCAGGGGGTACGTGAAAAGATTTTGAAAAGTTAAAAAAAAAAAAAAAAATTTGATTTTAGATTTTTTTTTATTAAAATGTTTACAGGAAAACTGTACCCAAATAATGAATAATGCATAATCTGTAATAATGTAACCAAAATTGGGGGTATTCAAATTAAGTAATAATTTGCTGGCTATATATTATTATTGGCGCGGCGTTCAGCTTCCCGCCGGACTGTCAGGTGTTACATCATCATCATCATTGTAGTGGCGCGCTGGTTTTCTTGCTAGCTAGCAAAATATCAACATCCTATCAAGTGAATGCGCTGGTGTTTATTGAGATCAACATTTCTGTTAACATAATCATTATGGATCAATGGCTGAGTCGAGCTGGTTCATCCAGAAACAACAGCACAGGTGATACTGCTGAATCAGGAGAACCCGTTCTCAAGAAAATGAAAACAGAGAAGGTGAAGAATCGTCAGTTTGGTGAACATTATGTGCTCTCCGGGTTTACGGTCACAACTACAGAGCCACCGCAGCCAATGTGTTTCATCTGTGGCGACGTGCTTTCTAATAATAGCATGAAACCATCCCATTTACATCGGCACCTTAGTACTAGACATCCCGCCTGTGTGGGTAAGCCTGCAGAGTTTTTCCACCAAAAGCTGGCTGAATTAAGGGAAGCCAAGAAAAACTAAAGAAAGCGACATCGGTCTCAACCAAGGCCTTGGTGTCGCTACTCGTTGCTAAATCGAAAAAGCCATTTACCATAGCCGAAGAGCTAATCTTGCCTGCTGCTATAATTCTCGCAGAAACCATGCTCGATAAGAAAGCAGCTGATGTCCTGAAGAAAGTGCCGTTGTCAAATAATACTGTGTGCCATCGGATCGACGACATGGGAATTGACATTATTGACCAAGTGGTGGAAAAATGTAAGGCGTCTGGTATGTTCACTTTGCAGTTGGACGAATCAACGGATGTCAGTGGGGAAGCACAACTGATTGCGTTTGTGCGTTACAAAGACACTTTGGAGATGAACGAGCACATTCTGTTTTGCAAGAAACTCACTGGGAGAACTACCGGACAGGATGTTTTTAACGTTATTTACCATTTTTTCTCTCAACACAAGCTGGATTGGAAATCCTGCTCTCATGTGTGCACAGACGGCACTACGGCGATGACCGGCAGAGTAAATGGATTAATGGCCCACATAAAAAAGGTAAACCCTGACGTTACATGGACGCACTGCATGATTCACCGAGAAGCATTAGCTAGCAAGAGAATGAGTCCAGAGTTAAAACGATGTTTTGAATGATGCCCGTAAAAGTGATCAACTTCATACAGTCCAGGCCTTTGAATCATAGACTGTTTCAGTCACTTTGTGGAAGACGGTGGGTCAGAACATAAACAGCTCCTGCTTCACACTGACGTCCGCTGGTTATCCCGAGGGAAGACGTTACAGCGGCTGTTCGAGCTACGCAATGAAGTGAGGGCATTTCTGTCGGAGCACACACACCCACTTGTGGCTATGTTCGACGACGCTGACTGGTTAGCTCGGCTGGGATACCTCTTTGATATTTTCAGCAAACTCAACCAGCTGAATCTCTCTCTTCAAGGTAAAGACACACATGTTCTTAGCTTGTATGACAAAGTGTGTGGATTCATGGAGAAGATCAAGCTCTGGCAGAGCAAATGTGAAAAAGGGGATACAAGTTGTTTCCTGCAGCTGAACGCATACATTGCTACTGGTGAATGTGACAGAGCTCCAATTGTGAAAATAGTACACACACATTTGTCCAAGCTCAAGAATGAGTTCAACTCCTACTTCCCTGATATTAACAACAAGTCATCCACACTGGACTGGGTGCGTAATCCATTTGTGACGTGCATTAACAGCAGCATTCCCGCCAGACTGCAAGAAGACCTCATAGATGTGTCCTCAGATAGGAGCCTGAAGATGAGGTACTCAAGCACACCACTGACACAGTTCTGGTGTGGTGTGGAGAAGGAGTATCCTGAATTGGGGAAAACATGCCCTGAATGAACTGTTGCCTTTTGGGGTCCACATACCTGTGTGAGGTGACATTCTCCGCCATGACCCACATCAAGACTAAACACAGGAACAGACTCAACTTGGAGAATAACCTGGTCACAGCTGTTGCAACAATCTCCCCCAGACTCACAAAACTGATGAGGGAGAAACAGGCTCAAGTGTCACATTAATTGGTGAGTTACTTTTTTTTTAAAGTCTTTAAACAATGGCTATTATAATGTATATGATTAGTTAAGATTGAATATGATTTAAGTGTCACATTAATTGTCGCATTGGGTCACACAGACAAAAATATCCTCCTCTTCTCTATCTCTCCTCGTCACTTCTCTCCTTCTTCCACTCCCAGGTTTCACCTTAGCTACACACAGGGCCGTATCCAGGCCCCGCCCCCCGGCCCGGGTCTGATATGTGCTGCACACACACACACACACACACACACACACACACACACACACACACACACACACACACACACACACACACACACACACACACACACACACACACACACACACACACACACACACGCACACGCACACGCGATTATTACGGTATATGGTTATTATATCCCTCTCACATTTCTCATCTTTTTATATTCAGATCTAATTCTATATTTATTTCTTTCTGCTATTACCCTGCCCATACCTATACCCCCCTCCCCATGCTGCTATGACACCCACATTTACCCAAGGGGATCAATAAAGGAATATCTCATCTGATTGTATCGTATCGTATCGCATCGTATCTTAGTTTTGTAGCAGATTCTTCAGTGCTTTGTTAACTTAATGTTACAATGGGAATGAAGTGATGATGTCAGACCTCAGAACTAAAGCTTTAATTCAATAAACTGCCAACCTGTGTGACCATGTGACTTTATCCAGGTCATCCACACACACACACACACACACACACACACACACACACACACACACACACACACACACACACACACACACACACACACACACACACACACCACACACACACACACACACACACACACAGCCGGTCTGCCACAATATATAGACTATTAATATATCCTGGGGATCACCACGATTGATTGCGTAGTAGGGGGTACTTTAGGTTGGCTTGAAATGCTTTGGGGGTACAGTACACAAAAAAGGTTGGGAACCACTGGACTAGAGTGCTGACGGAGAGCACTGGAACGTCGCTCCAGCTCTTCAAATATTGCAGTACCCATAAGGAGCCGTACACATGCCGCAGTGTTTGCGTGGCTGTGTCTTTAGTTGTAAGGACAGTGGCGATCTGTTGTTATTAGCATCTGGTTAGCTAGCTATGCTAACGAATTTAAAGAGCTTTTCTACAACCAGGTGGAAGAGAGCTCTCTCCTGAGAGGCTCAAATAACCTCAGCTCAGTGAGGTTAAGGCACACCTTGATATGATCATTATAGTTATTAATGAGACTACATGCAAAACAGGTATAAAATACTATATGACAGTAACAAAAAAGTTAAAAATAACAAGAATAGTTTAAAAGGGGAGTGATTTCTAAAATATCCAAAAAGAAAAATCTGCTTACAGTTCTGTTTCAAATGGGTGTTGAGAGATGTATCCATAGATCTCCTCATGTTGCTCTCAAAGTGCACCAGATTGATGCTTTTAACTTCAATATTTAAAAAAAAATCTTCCCGGGGGAACTTGCCCCCGGACCCCCCTAGAGGAGGTGAGGTCCACCACCTGCCCACACCCCCTGTTAAATTGTCTCACCCACATTGAGGATGCTTCCTACGCCCATGTTTTATTCCATGTGTCAAGTCAGGCAAATTGGGTCCAAATGTTATTGCATCAATGATCTGTTAACATTAAAATCACTAAATATATGCTGTAACTATTTTGTTCTAGGCAACTCAAGGGCTCAGGTAATGTAATTACTACATGAATAATGGTCCAAAATAACATTAAATGCATAGGGTTTTTTGTTAAGTAACATACTTTCGTCGCCGACCAGCCGATACATGCCGCGCATTAAGTGGGCCTGTCAATTAATCCCCGGGCCACTTTTTCCCCCCAGTCCACCCCTGCCTCGGTTTGGGGGTCATGGTTCGATACAGGTTCGGTACAACAAGAAAAAGCAAAAAAAAAAGTCCCAAATGCATAATTCCAGGTTTGTTGTTATTTATTTTTGAACAGTAGTGCAGTTAAAAAAGAAGGATCTCTAACAATTAGAATAATTAACTGTATTACACTGTTAAAAACAAACCACAAACAGTACCACACACACTCAGATGCCCAGCTTATCTATAATGGCTGATGTCAAACAAAAAGGTTCAATAAGCTGTACAACTAAAAAGAATGTCTTGAAAATATTACATCATAAATAATAAGAAAGTGTTTCAAGAGCGCATAGCCGTTGAAATATATATGCCAATAGCTTCCGTTATTTATTTTGGTCTCACGGCTGTCATGTTTATTGGCTTCTTAAAAACAGCGGGGATAAGCTGTTGAACTGCTGTTGTCTTTTGCCGGGCTCCGGTGATTGGCAAATCTGGGTGATGCCTTCTGATATGATTTAACATATTTGGCGTGTGTTACCATTAGCATACCGCACCGCTGTCAAACAACGCCGACACACCGTCCTCTTCCGATCCACCACTCACACACTCCATCGTTATTGTAGTCCACAGGGAACCCGAAATGTTCCCACACAGCTGATTTAAAAGAAGCAGGTGGGTTCTAGCTCCTGTGTGTTATCTGAAATCGCCATACTAACTTTTCTTCTTCTTGTATTTTGTTCGTTTTGTTGTGTTTTCTTCTTGTTCTTAATTTTTTGTTTAAGGGCGGCTAGCAAACAGCTTTTAGGCGCAATACCGCCCCCTGGATTATAAATAGTGTAATGGATACTGCCCTGAATGACAGACCTTGTTCCTACTCGTGACGGTACGGGACGAACACGGATACCGTTACACCCCTACAAACAACAATGTATACTTACAGGTTGTGTACCCAAATCTCCTGCTGGTCCAAACAAAGTAGGAACAGCATCGTCCTTCAGTGTCCTACGCTGTGCATATCCGGCATGAATCGCTGCAATGTTTGTGAAGCTTTGGTCCGTGAAATACCGCGCACACAGTACAATACCGGCTCGAACATCTGAAGGAACAGTGTGAACAAGAAATGTCAACCACTGACTTCGTCGTGGTTCTGCCCTCGGTAAGGCATACATTGAAGATTTCCCCTCACAAGACAGGAAACAGACCCTCGTTGGCATGACTGGATACAGATTTGAACTGAACCTGAGCTTCCAACAGTATATATGTTCGGCTGGCAGAGGGTGCGGCCATAGCTCTGGGCGTGGCTACTGGGTATACCTACGTAACGATACCCAGGAAGAAAACATTGGAAAATGAGAAATCTCCAATGAGGCGTTAGAGTTTTACTCCCTACAGGGTGTACATTGAGGGTTTTTTACTCTGCAGACCGTTTACATGCATAAAAACCTTCATAACACACAAGGGGATGGGTAATAACCGGAAAAAGCATGACATGGGATATTTAAAACATTATTAGAACCTGTAAGTGACGTTAGCCAAAGTTGTGAGAACGTTCCCTGCTAGCTGGGTATGCAATTGCCAAAACCTAAAATGGGATCATCACAGTTTAACTAATATATAACTAGTGTCATCTGAATTTTTAGAACTCTATATGAAGTTCTGTGTGTACAAAAAATACCCTAGTGCCATAACGGATTGGGGTTTAAATCATACTGTTTAAAGCTGTCTGTGGCTGTTTTTTCTGCTGTAACTACGTACATTTCCCCTCTGTGGGACTTATAAAGGTATTCTGATTCTGATTCTGATGTTTGTGTAATTTTAACAAATCAAACATGACCAGACTCACAGGCTGTCCGAGGTACCAGGCGGGGTTGTCTTTCTCCGGACCGGACAGACTGAATGAGGCGTCAAACACCGGGTCGTACATAACGTTGTCAATCAGACCGTTGGACTCCGGATAGAGACCCTGAGGAAGAGAGGATTGAGAGAGAGAACAAGAAATTGGTTGAAGCAATGCAGGGATAGATTACTGTGACATCATCATACAACAAAACCTTCTTTCAAGAACAGAAAGATGTTTCTTTCATAAGGAATTAACCAGCTCTCTATCTTTTTTACCTGAAGCCGGGAACCTATCCAGATCTGAAACCTAGATGGTTGTTCTGGACGACCAACTGTCCTTCAATGCTAACATCACTGCAAAAACCTACTATTACAGATGCACTACCGACGACGTCAGGAGTATCCTACATACCCAGAAGAAGACTCAGGTTCTGGTCTACCTGAGTACCAACTGATCCATTGACTGTGCTGTTATTTCATACATCCAGAACACGTTTAAAACCACACTCCAGCACTCTCCATCAGCCAATCTGATTGCTGCTCCTTCACTGCGAATAGAACCCAGGTTCTTGTCCTCAACAAAAACACGCCTGTTTGCTATTCTGGCTGCAAAATGGTTTAAGGAGATCCCCATTGATATTAGGACAGCAGAAAGTCTACACATCTTCCATTGAGACTGAAAACCCACCTGTTCTGTCTGTACCTTGGCCATTAACCTGTTAAACCCCATCCCTGTTTTTCAGGTCTCAGGCTCGAAAATGACATTTCCAGAACAAATTACCATAACTACACTTCTAAAAGGGGAAAATTAATAATCTTTTTTCTCAAAGTAATGATAAACCTGTGAGTTGGATGTAGAAGAGTCAGAATCAATATAGATGTTTTTTATTTTAAAGAAAATTCAGATTGAACATAGTAAAAAACTGTAAATGATAGTGTCTGTCCAAAAATATGTTTTTACTTATAGTGAAAACCACCCTTGAATGATGGTAAGGTAGACTAAAAGCTTTAGGAATCCAAAGTACAACATATAATAAGTACCCTGTATCAAGATTGATGCAAATGAAGAGACATTTGACCTTTTTAGAGAGGTTTAGCAAAAAAAACTCCACCTCTGGGGTGATTTGGGTGGAAATGGACGTTTTTGCCGTTTCTCTGGAACCCATTGGTCGATTTTGATGATTGACATTTCTTTTTAACCGTTAGAGCCAATAGAATCAAAGGAGAATTTCCACATACACACCAACGTTGCCAAAAAAAAGGTGGGGGCTACGCACATGCAGTTTTGCCCAGAGCAAACCTGTCTCACACTCTGAAATCTGAAAACGGAAAAGTTGTGATGTCTGTTTTTGTTTATTATGTCGCGAGTTCTTATCATGGAGTGATCAATTCTGTGTCTTCTCACGATGCTAGTCGATGGGTTGGATTTGCAGTTACGATAAATAATAAGGGTGTTATACCGTGTTTTCTGTGCAAGTGCCGTTAGCATTTTTTCGCTCGTGGCTAATTCAGAGGCTCAGCGTTAGCTTTGTGGTTTTTTTTGCAAAAAAAAAAAAAAAAGATCAGTTAGCTGAGTTTCTTCCCGTTACATTAGTTTTTCTGTTTTGCACATCCTCCTATTAATATTGTCTGACTGTGCTGTCAGACTTTGTACATCCTGCACTGTTTATTATTAGTGTAGGACACTTATGTATGTATAACATCTGAAGATGTGTAGTTTTATTCATGTTTTCACATTGTTTTACAGGATATTGCTATTATTTGACCTGTTTTACTTCTACACATTAATATCTGATTTGTAAAACATCACAGACAGAAAGGTATATCCGTCATTTAATGGTAAGCTATTGAAATTCTGAATCAGTTCAGCAGGTGTGTATCTGTTCCCGGTGACTTTATTTTGAAATTCAGTTCCTGACGGACGCCAAAAAAGCCTGAGATTATAGAATTAAACAAATAAATAAAAACAAGGATAATTGTGTGTTATTGTTGAGTACATAACAGTATGTTATTTAGAAAAGAATAACAAATTAGAAGAAAAAAAATATTTAAAAAAATACAGATTTCAGTATCCTGAGGCTCTGAGCCCCATTTCTTTTCCTCACGGATGGCAAAAAAAGTCCGACATTATATGATTTAAAATTAAAAACAATAATCGTGGCTTGATATTGAGTAAGAACATGTTTTTATTAACCACACAGCTTCCGGTCTCCCAAGACCTGACCGGACAAAAAGACGTGTTGCAGGCACAAAACATACTACCAATAGAAATACATTGCTTTTAAAATCGTTCTGTGTGACACGAAAAAAAGGGGAAAATCTTGTAGGTGAACACGAATCAATAGATTAAATGTCGTGACTATAACACAAAATGCCGTGAGACTGGGTTGCTCACACACACTGTTGGCCACCGGGAGCCACTTGTATTTAAAATGTATGTAATGGAATTCGATTTTAAATTTTAAAGTTACTCCAGTTCTGAACTCAACTGAAAAATATAATAATACCCATGACTATACTTAATATAATAAAAGGATGGTTTGTGAACTATAATACTTCAGTCATTAATCTTGCTTGGATTCCTTGGTTGTACACAGATGGTGGAGTGCTGCAACTGGATTGTCTTTTACAAACTATATACCCTCTTTTCACACCACCTGCTTTTTCGCAGGATGCTTTGTGCAGAGAAAATGTAGCTTCACATACACAGTGAATGGGAGCAAAATTATTTTCACCAATTTGCTTGCAAACACAAAAAATCAAAACGTTTTTTTCTTCTAAATAGATCATTGCTAAATGCTTGTGCAAGCATATTCACATGTGCATGTTAGGGTCTTGTGTGTTTACCGTAACAATGGTGTAGTGATTGGGGAAGGTCTTGCTGGGGAACACTGCCTGCATGTATGGAGCGGAGGTTCCACACTGCTCTGTGATAGAAGAACAGAAAATGAAACACATTAGCTTCTACCTGAGCGTCATGTTAAACTGGGAGCACTGTCATCGCCTTACATGTAGGCAGGATGAACTCAATATGCACACACATTACATTTGAAATTGATGAGAGAAAGAAGACATGAATGCTGGATGATTCAGTATAGATAAATCAATCCTTACAGACAAAAAAGAGGTCATAAAGTCCAGCTGTGTCCCTGTTGTCTGCTGACTCACATTGTGTTCTAAACAACATGTGATTCTAACACAGCTGTACTGGCTTTGTTCTCTCATCCATCCAACATTGAAGAAGATCATCCAAGAAGCTTCATTAAAGCTCAGGAATGATTCAGAGACCAAATAATACTTGTTTGACTAAACGTTTGTGAAGTGAGGTAATAGCAGAGGAGTTTTGAATCTAACATAAAGAAAGACCTGCACATTTGTATTTATCAGTGAAGTTATTCACTGAAAGTTAAAATTGAAGGTTGCTTGAGAGGAAGCAAAATTAAAATGTAATAAAAAACTGAATTCAGAATGGAAGAAAAAGGAGATTCTCTAACAGAAATGCAAATTCAGTGCTAGTTGCATTCCTTAACAAGAACCCGTGAAGGAAAAGGGTGTTTTAGAGGTTGTATGCATAGGAGCTAATACAGTTTCATTATATTTCTCCTGCCGGGACGACATGAACATTTAAGTAGGGTATTGTGGTTCAAACGTACTGAGCTTGTCCAGAACAGGGATGAGAGCGGCCCATGTCTGCAGGTACTCGGCCCGCAGGCCATCCAGAGAGACGAGGAGCAGGGGCTGCTGCCTAAAGCTTGTAGGGGGGGGGGGGAGAAGATAATATACAGGTCATTTCAATAAAGGCAGGTTTGAGAAGTTGATTATTGATCTTTTTTCACCACAACAGGTGAAGCTAACTGAATGACATTCTTACCCGGCTGGACATGAAGGAGCTGAGAGGTCTGCACAGGGGTCCTCTACCCACTCTGTGTCTCCTACAGGGGGGGGGGGGGCATACTGTGTTAACAGGGCAGTTCAGGACCTAACCATTACATTAAAAGGTACACATGTACACTGACTGTCAAACATTTTAACATCAGATGTTTTTTTCAATGTGGTCTTAGCATTTTATTAATTTCAATTTAGCTGGGAACGGTTATGTGAAAGTGGCTCTGCTACATTTAAAAGTGTTGAATCAGAGACATGAATCAGGCTGTATATACCAATGGAAAATAATCTCCCGATCTTTCCTGATAGCTCCTTTCAAAATATAAACGGTGGTCTATAGTCATAAGAGGCACTTAGATGTTTGAAGAAATATGGACAAACAATGTCTTTCAGGACCTACATCAGCATTGAAATCAGACAAACACATACCAGTCTCCTTATATCTCTATAGCCCATTTCTAATCTGATCTGAGTCATCTACAACTAAATTAGCAAGCAACTGTTACCCCAGATAACCTTGTTGTTACACCTACATTATTAATTATCTTAACAGCTTTTGTCTTTACTTATCCTCTTTCATGTTATTCTATGTCCTTGTTTTAATTATTACCATGGCAGACATGTTTGAAGTTGGTGCAGCAGTCCCCTGCAGACAGACAGTCATCAGAGCAGTGACACCTGCTCTGCGTCAGCCTCTTCTCTCCACAGCGCAGCTTCGTGCACTGCCACTGCTGGGCTGAAGAGGAACATGCAGTAAGTGCACCGCATCGCAAACAAATGCAGATTTAGTTATTGCATTACACAGGTTGGTTGAAAACTCGATTCCGATTGGTCAATATGAACATTCAGCGGTCTGCTATTACTCAATACTGTTGCTAAAGATGCAGTAATCAAGGACATTTGTGCAGTCATATCAATCCGCAAAAAGAAGCCCTGGAGAAGACAGACAGGAAGTAAACACTAAAGGGAACAACGGAAGAAGACAGGCAGGAAGTAAACACTAAAGGGAACAGCAGAAGAAGACAGACAAGAAGTAAACACTAAAGGGAACATCAGAAGAAGACATACAGGAAGTAAACACTAAAGGGAACAACGGAAGAAGACAGGCAGGAAGTAAACACTAAAGGGAACAGCAGAAGAAGACAGACAAGAAGTAAACACTAAAGGGAACAACGGAAGAAGACAGGCAGGAAGTAAACACTAAAGGGAACAGCAGAAGAAGACAGACAAGAAGTAAACACTAAAGGGAACAACGGAAGAAGACAGACAGGAAGTAAACACTAAAGGGAACAGCAGAAGAAGACATATGGGAAGTAAACACTAAAGGGAACAGCAGAAGAAAACAGACAGGAAGTAAACACTAAAGGGAACAGCAGAAGAAGACATATGGGAAGTAAACACTAAAGGGAACAGCAGAAGAAAACAGACAGGAAGTAAACACTAAAGGGAACAGCAGAAGAAAACAGACAGGAAGTACACACTAAAGGGAACAGCAGAAGAAGACAGATGGGAAGTAAACACTAAAGGGAACACGGTATGGGCTCTGGCAGTGTTTACAGACTGGATAATGGAGGAGACAATGTGAACAGACTTGGACAGTTACAGAAAACCTCGATCAGTGCTGCCGTCAGTTTAAGTTACGTTGCGTTAAAATGAAATGTCTCACTTGGAACAGTGCAGCTGTCGTGGTAGTCCAAGCAGCAGCTCTTGCTGGATTCACAGTTCTTGTCACACCTGCAGCCGGGCACCTCACTGTCGTAGGGCTCGTAGCAGCGCCCCCTGCAGGACGTCTGGGGGATGGCAGGAACTGGAAGACAGGACCCCACCTTTTAATACTGTAGCTGTGGCTTTTAAGAATGTAGAATATAGTTTGGAGTTTGGAAATTGGTGGTTTTGCTGCCATTAAAACAATTTCACAATCATGGCTTGAGAATATGTTAGAGTTTATTGAAGGATAAACGTGTTTTCATAATATGTTGTCATTTTATGTTGTAAAGAGACCATAGTCAGAAAAGAGGAACAGAGAATAGTCTGTTCCCCTTTTCTGTGGACCATACACACACACACACACATGATTGCGAGTCACAAGACTCCCATTGACAAATAAAGCCGTTGGTTACATACACTTCCTCATGCATGATTTGTAACTGTATTTTTGTAATAAAGAGACTGCACTGAGAGAAGAGGAGCAGAGTTGGTTTTGGAGTTGACATGACCTGTCACTCGCTGATTCTCCTTGCAGCAAGTAAACTTGAAACTCGAGTACTGTTATCTTTGTTCACTGGGTTTTGGTATATTTGAACCGAGCTGGGGTTTACTCTTACAAAGTAATATAGAAATACCCAACAATAATTGGTCCTTCGAGCCGGATTCCAACACATCGTGACGGGAAGGAGGAGGGAAAAGACACGCCGCAAGTCTGTCGACAGCCGGGATCATCAGCCGACCCCGAGAAAGACCCGGGACGCAGAATTCGTGGCCGGGCCGGTGCTTATATGTCCAACCTCCCTCATCCTCGGCACGATTGACGGAATCCAACCGGACCAGTGACCACAGATAACGGGTAAGATAAAAGTTGATATACATGGTTTCTCCACCATTTAAGGAGGTAGAGAAAGGCTTCTCCGCCATTTAAGGAGGATTGACGTGTCTTTGGGTACACTTATGAGAAAGGTTTCTCCACCATTTAAGGAGGTAGAAATTGACGTGCCTTTGGGTACACTTATGAGTGATTGAGTGAAAGTAGTGTGTAAAAGTGTCACCAGGTGGAATCAGCGCACAGAGTGGAAACCTAACGGTGATAACAAAAACTCTGTGGTCTGTTGAAGTACACTAGTGGTGAATTAGGAATTAGGTTCTGACCGGCACGTTGTCCAGTAGGAACACAAAGCTAGAATAATGGGGTCCAATGGGAGTAAGCCTGCCGCTACAGGGGACATGAGATATATGGAAATATATAGTCATGGCAGCACCAGTTATTGTAGCAAATGGTATAAACTGTACGGCTTCCGAGGAAAGTTGGAGAAAACAGCAGTAAGAGAATTAAGCGACAAATTGAGAGCAGAAACAGCTGGAACAACACAAGGCAAGAAAAGAAAGAAGTTAGAAGCTCAACTGCGAGTCGCAGCTTTATGGGCTGAACAAGCCCATAAAAGGAGCAGGCAGAGGCAGAGGAGGAGGCAGAAACGCAGAAGGCAAATTCCTCTGCTACAGGTGCGGAAAGGAGGGGCACATGGCGAGGGACTGTGAGGAACAGATGTCACAGATAAAAGAAGGGGGACAAAAGGGACAGTACAAAGACGAAAGACATGGCCCCCCCCCTTCACATAACCTACATAGTTATGACAACTGACTAGACGTAGAAAAGGAAGAAGAGGACGTCCACACACATCACATTGACCTTTCTGAAGTATTACTGAATCTGTCAGATAACAGTATTAAACCTACCAGAACAATCGAAATCAATGGGGAAAAATTTGAATTTTTATGTGACAGCGGTGCAGACTCATCAGTAGTGAACAAAGAAGTCCAAAGAATGTGGCCACCAACTGGCACTATGTTTGTAAAATCAGCAAATGGACACATAAATCAGAGGTCGATTTCAAAGCCACTTTTTATGGAAGATAGAAGGTCAGGCCTCCAGGCATCCCTCAAATTTGTGTTCATCTCAAACTGCCCTGTCAATTTGCTAGGGAGAGACGGCATGGAAATGTTAAAAATCAGTGTAGTACCAGTCAAAGGGGGAATGCGAGCAGTAGGGCCCGGAGAAAAGGTGGAAGACCAGATCTTCCTTCAAAAATCCATAAACACCCCCAACTACTACTGGTCACTAGACATGCCACAACCTGACGTGACAAACACAGGTGAACACCTGTTAACACTATTCACCCCACAACATGGCCAAGAAGTAATGAAACCTGACGCATTGCACGTTACACTAAAGTACAAGAACACCCCTGGCCCAGACAAAGACTATGATGTGCTCGTGCATCGACTGACACCACAGAGGGTAGTGTTCCACTCGATGTATGCAAACCAACACGGGGATGTTGTAATTGACGCTAGGGTCCCATCAACCACTGCCTTGATAATGGAACCAGGTTCCACGCCACACATATCAGTAGCTAGGGGCCCAGGGACTTCATGGAGAGACTTAGGTTTATTAGTGGCTAGAGGTAACAGGATAACAAAATGGACAGATGACAAAAACGGTTGGCAAACTGGAGGCGGGTTAAAGCGCAAAACTCTAGGGTTTACTCTAGTGATGACACCACGCGCCCACCTAGACGACCCTGAACAACAATGATGTATGCTAAGTGAAGAGGCCTTAGAGGTCCTGAAAACGGTGCCGCCATGCGTATGGTCACAAGGAAAATGTGATGTAGGTCGCATGGTGAACGCAAAACCTGTACACGTTAGACCAAAAACTAACTACAGACCTAACATAAGACAATACCCCTTAAAAGAGGATGCAAAAGTTGGCATCAAACCTGTAAATTGAAGAAATGCTAAAAGCAGGGATCCTGCGTGAGTGCCCTGATGCATCATGCAATACCCCCATCTTCCCAGTAAAAAAGGCTGATGGGCAGTCATGGAGAATGATTCAAGACTTAAGAGCAGTAAATGATGCTGTACAAAGCACAGCCCCAACAGTACCAGATCCACACACGTTAATGAACGGCCTTAAGCCAAATATGGCATGGTTCTCAGTGATAGACTTGAGCAATGCCTTTTTCTCCATTCCTGTAGAAAAAGACTCACAAGGATGGTTTGGGTTCACACATGAAGGAACAAAATACACATACACCAGATTACCTCAGGGGTATGTGGATAGCCCAACAATCTTTTCACAAGAAATAGCAAATTGTTTGGCTACATTACAGATACCTGACACATCGCAGATTTTGGTATATGTAGATGATATTCTTGTTGCGTCACCCACACAGGAAGAAAGCACAAAAGTCACACTACAAGTATTGACACATTTGGCCAAAACAGGAAACAAGGTTTCAAGACAGAAACTTCAGTTTGTGAAAGAGGAAGTGATCTTTTTAGGCCACAATTTAAACCGAGAAGGGAGACGCATACACTCAGAGAGGAAACAGACGGTGTTAAACGCACCATAACCAACAACAAAAAAAACAAATGATGCAATTCCTTGGGCTGACTAACTATTGCAGAGCATGGATTCCAGACTACGCAGGAATGACTCAGCCCCTACTAGATTGCATATACTCAGACAATGACATGAAAATGTCCGGCAAGATAGAATGGACACAAGAGGCAGAAGCTGCATTTGAAAGGACTAAACAGTGTCTCGTAGGGTCATCAGTGTTAGCATTACCAGACTATGAAAAACCATTTGTACAAACAGTTGACTGCAAAAAAGGGTTTATGACATCAGTATTGGCACAAAAACACGGCACAAAACTAAGGCCTGTCGCTTACTACTCTAAAAGGTTAGACCCAGTAGCACAAGCATTACCAGTATGCGTACAAGCAGTATGTGCGGCAGCAATGGCGGTACATTGTACAGCAGAAATAGTTTTGTTCCACCCACTCACACTGATGGTTCCACACGCAGTCACCATGTTGTTACATGACACCAAAATGGCTTTCTTATCACCTGCACGTTATTTGGCACTGACAGCTACACTAATGTCACAACCACACATTGTGATAAAAAGATGTAATATCTTAAATCCAGCCACATTAATACCTACAGCAGAAGATGGAGAACCACACTGTTGTAAAGAAGAGACTGACAGAACATGCAAACCAAGACCAGATTTGAAAGACATACAACTACTCAGTGGCGAAACATGGTTTGTGGATGGGTCCTGTTCTAAATCTATAACAGGCCAAAATCAAACAGGGTTTGCAGTTGTATCACACTCACAGGTCATAAAAGCAGGCCGACTCCCCCACACATATTCTGCACAAGCAGCGGAATTAGTAGCTCTTACAGAAGCATGCAAAGCGGGGGTTGGAAAAGATGTGACTATGTGGACAGACAGCCAGTATGCGCACTCAACAGTACATATATTTGCAGCCCAATGGGCCCGCAGGGGCATGAAAACATCAACAGGAAAACCAGTCACCCATGCACAGCTGCTGACTGATCTTTTAAAAGCGGTGTTGTTGCCGAAAAGCATTGCTATATGCAAATGCGCTGCGCACACCAGTGGGAAGGATGCAGTAACACTTGGCAATGCACACGCGGATAAGGTAGCGAAGCTAGCAGCTATGGGCGAATATGGGTTCCATATCCTCTTGCAGAAGGGGGAAAGTGTTTCACAACCAATACCTCTTGTGATATTAAGGGATATGCAGAACAACGCACCCGACAGAGAAAAGAAGAAATGGTTGACAGATGGAGCAACCACAGACCCTGAGGGAACATTCAGAATAAACAACAAGATAGTACTCCCTGTTAGTCTCTACAAAACAGCAGCTCATTTGAGTCATGGGCCGTGCCATGTCTCAACAGGAGGGATGGTGACAATAATAAATGAACATTTCCATACATACAACTACATTACATTTTCTAAAAACTTTTGTAGAGCCTGTATAGTATGTTGCAGACACAATGCTCAAGGCAATGAGCGACCACAGAGAGGAAAGTTCCCTCCACCAACATACCCATTTCAACACATGCATATGGACTTCATCGAACTAACACCATGCCAAGGGTACAAATACTGTTTGGTAATGATATGTCCGTTTTCAAAGTGGGTTGAAATATTCCCAGCAAAACATGCAGACGCTATTACCGTAGCAAAAGCCATATGCAAGACAATAATACCA